TCTTCAAGCTTGCCCAGATCGTCGAAGCTGGGAGAAGTTGACAGGCCTGGAGTGGCTGTAGGTGTGTAGTCTTTGGGCTCACTTGGAGGCGGAGCCGCGTTCTGCTTGGGAAAGGTCTCCAACACATTTGAGGAAAGGTTCAGTGTCTCCAGTTTCCTGCAGTACCAGATCTCAGGAGGGAGGCTCTTGACATTGCACTCCCTGAGGTTCAGAAATTTGAGCTCCGCGAGATTGCCAATGGACGGAGGAACTATGTTCAGCGGGTTTTTGGCCATGCTCAAGAACTCAAGTTTGGTCAGCCGTCCGATCTGAGAAGACATATTCGAAAGGTGGTTCTTGTCCAGGTTCAGCTTTTGCAAGTTTGGCATGTGGTCGAACATGGTTTCCTTGAACTCGACCAGTTTCGCTGAAGCAATATTAAGGCTAGACAGCGTAGGCACAGGCTGATCCAGCTCGAACGACGTGATCGGGCAGTGATCCAGGACCAATACTCGCAACTTCGGAAATGAGCCTTTGAATGTCGTGATGTTGTTGTGACCGACAAGTAACTGTTCGAGATTCGGAAGACCTGTTACATTGTCGATGTTGGTAATTGCGTTGAACCTTGCATCGATCTCCTTTAGATTGATCAGACTTGCGAAAGTCTCGTTGAAGGGGCCTTTCAGATCATTGTTCGTGACCCACAGGCGTTCGAGAGTGGTCAGTTGTGAGATTTTCGGGAGCGAGGAGAGCTTGTTGAAGCTGATGTCAAGGTCGACCAAGGACTTCAAGCTGCATATGTTTTCTGGAAATGTGGTAAAGTTGTTGGAGGAAACGTTCAGGCTGCGAAGCTGGCGAAAGTACGAAAAGTTGGGCGGCAATTCCGACAACTTATTGTTTGCCAGCTTCAAGCTCACAAGGCCCATTAATCTGTGCAGTTCAGCGTGTTCCAATTGTTCCAGCCGATTGTTTGACACGTCAAGCACAGTCAGCCGGCTCGCCCAAGCCAAGCTGGGTGGTAGCCGCCACGCTTCATTGCCCGTGAATTTGATCTCGCGCAGGTTGATGCAGGCGGTGATAAAGTCCTTTGGCACCTTGAGTGCAAGGTTCCGTGAAAGGTTGATGGAAATTATTTCTGAGGCCTTTGTATAAAGGATAATCGGTATTGTTACAAGCGACTTCCCGGAGAGATCCACATGGCTGAATTTCTGCATCTTGTTGAAAGCCGGGTCTTTGTCAAGGCCACTGCCGTAACCCGTCTGTTTCTCATGGCTGAACGTGAATCGAATGAGGTAGCTGTTGTCCTCTCTGCCCACCTCTTCCACTCTGTCCCTTTCTGTGTACCCTGCAAGGTACAAGAGCTTTTTCTGCATGGCCACAGGACGTTCTCCCGACCCCAGCTGTCTGGATAATTGATGTTTGCGCATGAGGAGTTGGTAGTTTTCAATAGAGTCATGGAGAACGGATTTTTTGGCAAGAGATTGAAGCACCTCTGCCACAGTCGCATTAATAGACATGGACAAGGTCGCAAACGTCCCATCGGTTCTGAAGACACGCATAAAGTAGGATATGCCATCCTCTTCCTGGATGGCCGGCAGGCCGTCCTCGTTGATTTCTGGTAAGCTGTCAAGCACCTCATCTTCCTGCCCCTTAACAGCCCAACTATCCGGGGCATCCCAAGCCGGGGCAGAGAGTTCTGACATGGGCGTCGCGGAAGCTTTTCCCGTCCAGATCCCTGCTTCCCCAGGAGTTTTTGGGACTGGTGGCTGAGAAATAATGTCTGACATATCATCAAAATTCGTGTCAAGGCTGAAGACCCCCGCTTGCATCGGAGCCTGTGCACTTGTTGCCCTGCCCTTCTCCGAGGTATCACTTTGGATGCTAGGTCCACGATGTCTCCCATGACGAGTGAACCTACTCGTCTTTGATGACGCCGTTTGTGTGCGATCAAGCTTTGGAGAAGGGTCGGTGGCTTTGATCGTTGATGCGCTGTCAACCGATGCAACGCTCGTCTCTCTATCTCTTTTATTGTCAGAGATATCCGAGGCGGTGGTTCTGGTCGACTGTGTTCTACCCTTCTTGTGCTCCTCTGGTGGCCGTGGCGGCTCGACAGTGGTCTTGATCGGCTCAGGCTGGGACGGCTGTTTGTCCTTACGCGATTTCGTGAGTTTCGAAAATATCGATCTCTTTTCGGATTGCGTCGGAGCGTCCTTACGTGATTGGGGCGCTGGGCTGGCATTGCGCGTGAGCGTTGTAGAAGAGCTCATGGGCGTGCTGTTTGGCGGTGTATTGCGGTAGAAGGCCAGGTTGCTCGTCGATGACTCGCGACTTGTCGAAGGCCTTTTGGGCATTGACGCCGGGGTTTGCTGGCCTTTTGGTGGGTCTTCTTTACTTCTTGTGTGGCGATGAAGCAAACCACGCCTGTGAGTAGAGGCCGGTGGAACTGGCTGTAAGGTTTCGTGTTGCGGCTGTTGCTGCTGTTGTTGCTCCTGTCGGATCGGTGCCGAACCAAAGTTTGAGACATCTTCAAAATTTTGATAAGCCCACGGCGTAACATCACTAGAAGGAAGAGGAGCAGGAGTCTTGGGTCGATCATCAACGGTGGTCTGAGTCTGGACAGAACCACTCCGCTGTGATGGCTTGTCCGACGAACTGGCAAGTGGCACTGACTCTCCCAAGTCTGCCGTCGATCCCTTCCGGGAATCTGTAGGATCTTCACCAAAGAAACCCTTCAAGCTTTTATGGAATCGACCATTAGCGGTGCTGCTCCTTGAACCTGTACTGCTGACTGTTGTAGCACTAGCTATCGACGGCCGTCTTGCATCACCATCATAATCCGGCGAATCTGATGTATTTGTTCTGGCAGTATCCGGACGCCTTGACGAACCTGGAGCATCCCGGCCGCTAGAATCGTTGAAATAAGACGAATTCAGTGGCCGCGTGCCTGAAATATGTGCCTGGGGATCGCGTTCCCAAGGCACTATATCGTCATCGTCAGGAAGCTGGGTGTCCCAAGGAGCGATGTCATGAAGCGCCCGAGATTGTGAGAACTGCTGACGGCTTGTAGTATTCGTGGGACCTCCGGTTCCAAAGATGGCCATGGCTTTCGGGGGCATTGACTGCGGAGGCCTGGTGTCCCATGGCGCCACATCATTGTTCGTACGGGACATGACGAGAAATAGGAAAGCAAGGACTTGGTCCGGATCTGAGATTCCACGTCAATTCAACTGAGCAACCATGTCTCAGGTATGTTGGACAGAAAACACGAATCTAAAATAGCAATATGACCAAAGGAGTAGCCCAACGAACACGGAGCAAAGAGCGCAAACCCAGGCAAAAGTGAGCAAATGACCAACAAGCACGCAAATTGCTGTGCGAAGCAGCAATTATGGCCAGGTGCAGAAGTTCGGAACCTCAATGTCCACAGATTGGCTCTTGCTCGCAAATTGTAATGTGCGTGCTGCGTACCTTCTCTTTTCCCCGGTAAATGTTCCTTCGACGTTGACTCTTCACCCTTGCCGCTGTTCCCTTCCGCTCATGGTCTGATACAGTCGATATGGATCTCGCGTCGGGCGCAGGGAGATGCAGTCACCATGCTCGGTTCAGTCCCAGGGTAGGCCGGCTCAGGAGCGAAATGCGAGGTTGTCGTGATGCTGAGACGTCTTCGAACACCGAGACGGACTCGACAGTAGTATGTAGATATACCGGCGAACCTCTAGATACGTATAAGTAGGTTCAGTTGTAGCTCGTTAGGCATCGCGGGCTTGTAGGCTCAATCGTCGACGGCGGCCGTGTGTAGGTAGTCAACTGTTCAATCGAAGAATAAGGGTTGTGTAAGAAATAGGAGATAGGTGTCTTGATGATGATCGATGAGGAGGAATCAGCGAACATTGAACGCAGGTAGGCTGAAATTGAAGACGACGACGAAGTTGAGGTGCGAGATCGAGGTGCGAGGTGCGAGGTGCGGCCGATGAGAATGGATGATGGCAACGAGTCAAGCACGCATGCGAGTACGAATAGGCGTCGGCGTTGGTTGTTGGTTGGTTTGTGGAGATGGGGTTTGACCTCGAGGCCACCAGGCTTCCAGGCTTGCAGGCTTGCAAGGCCCGAGTTCTGGGCCGAAGTTGATCAATGGGCATCAATTGGCTACCCGGGCGCCCACCCGCTCTCGCCTGCCTTAAATTTAGCCTTATGCCTTTGGCCGTGATGCCGGCAACTGAGCCCCTCACCTGCACCGACTTCCTTTTACTCTCTAGGTACTTGGGTATGGGCAACACCTTGCCTAAGCCAAAGGAGTCCTGTACCAAGCGGCACCGCACCCCGTCTCCAGACTGCGTTTCACAAGGTAAAAGTCCATGCACACCGGTCAGCTGTTCATGCTTCAAACTCACCACCCATCCAACTGTCCATTCACCACTCATTGTCCCCTGCTTTATGAATTCTGACCAAGGTTTTGACTCTGGACAACTGTAACCGATACACAGAGAGTCGCTCTGCCTCACTCGCTCTGCCCATATCCGCTCCCCGCTCCCACACTGCCTCCTCGCCCGACGCCCTCACGGCGCCCGCCGACCACCAGGAAACTTAATCAGGGCGAGCAATTCTGAGCCGTTGAATCGCGTGACGGATCGACCTTCTCTGACTGGTGACAGTATTCCGACACATCTCACGTCTAGCCTTCTCGGCACCACTGGGCAGCTACAGAACACTCGGCCACATTCTTCCCACCTCACTGCCTCATTGGACAATACAGGCTTCACACCGTACTTGTACAAGCGTCGGTCGATACGCTGGTCCCAAGATGATAGATTCGAAGATACCCATTAGCTCTTGCTGCACAACAATCAAAGCCAAGCTTGTGAATATCCATAGGATTAGATTAAAAGGATTTATCATCTTATATGCACCCTGCTCACCTGTTCAGCATGCTTGGATTGCCAACCAGCAGCTCGAAAACTGAGAAACCCCTTCAATACCCAACAGCGCCTTTGCCACAGACTTTGCTGAAACGATACACCAAGTCATTTCTTCGTATCCCCCCGGAACCAGAGTACGTCTTTGCCAGACGTAGTCATCATATCCGCTTGGGGGGGTGGAACTGCCTCTAAGCCTGCCTTTGGTGCTGATCCAGTCCCATTCGTTGTAGTTGTTGTTGTTGCTGCCGTCCCCGTTGTCGTCGTCGTCGTTGTGTGTATAGAAGCCCTTTCCGAGCTCTTTGCAGTAGTGACGCTGCTGCTATCCGCAATGCTCCCCCGGAACAGACTTTTCCATCCGCTCTTGCTTCCCTCCCCAGCATTGCTGTTTTTCTTCTTCTTCTTTTGCTTACGTTCTCCCTCAAACTGTCCCGCAGAGGCAAAATCAGGTTCCACCATCGGTCGGCCTCCTGGAGCTGGGGGCGCAGGAGCTTGCACCGGGGGTCCTAGCGAACGGGATGATTGGTGCGACCAGCGTTGTGCCGAATTTGAAGAGACACTCGAAGCTGATCGGGCATGGATAGGTGAACCTGGTGGTGTATAGGAGAGTTTGTCGATGATATCTGCAACAACATCTATTTTGAGCTTGGGGCCCGGACTGTCCACCCTCTTCGAACTCCCGCCAGGGCTCGAGACTTGTACGGGAACAATCTTGCCGTCTTTCTTAGCGAGCTTCAACTTCAAGGGTCGAATCGGTTCTGGCTTGTTTGAACCCCCAAAGTCCTTCGGCTTCATACCAGGTTTGATTGTGAGTTCGGAGGGCAGCTTGAACGAGTCGCTAGGAGGGCTTTTGCTGGCACGAGGAATTTCTTTCTCTGGAATTTCGGCCAGGGTAACGGGTCTTGGAGGCAGCTTGAATAAGTCGGCAGGCAGGCTTTTGGTGGCGCGAGGAATTTCTTCTCCTGGGATTTCGGCCACAGCAACTGGCCTTGGAGGTAGCTTGAATGTTTGATGTGGAGCTTCCAGCTCTACAGGTCCGAACTCTTCCTTCGGTTTGGGCTGAGGAGGGTTAGGGACATGGGCCTCTAACTCGGCAATAAATTCTCTTTTTGGGCTCAGTGTGTCGACTTGTTGACCAAGCACGTTATTTGAGACGTTATCTGATGTTGTTTGAGATGTGGCCTGGTCTTCAAAAATTGTGAGCGCAGCGATGGGAATTGCTGATCTTTCGCCGTCACCGGCGTTTTCGGTTTCTTTAGACGGCTGAGGCGCTGCAGCTGCGATCTGAGGCTGCAAAGGTGTTACCACCGACCCATATGCAGCATTTTGTGTGCTGTTTCTCGCATCCACTTGGGTTTGAAGATGAATCTGTATCTCCATTTCGGTCTTTCCCTGCCCTTCCTCTTCGCCAGAGACTGGCACGACAGCAACGGTGATCGTCGGTTGCTCAATGGCCGTTGTCGTGTCCAGCACTGAACCGGAAGTTGACCTTGTCATTTCACCTTCGTTCAACTCTGGTCCAGGTTCCCCCAGGCTAGAAAATTGAGAGCCTTTCCGCGAGGACGGAGAGTTCAACAGCTCTTCTCTCGCTACCGTCTCAATCGGGGCCGGCAGCTCTACCGGAGGAGCTGCCATGGACATCACAGCAGGATGAGAGGTGAATGCTGGGTTAGGGATTGACGAGCGACGCGTTACTGGCCTTGATGGATCCACTATCGAGGCCCGAGCTGACGCCTGAGCGCCTGTTGGAGACGGTTTGGCAGAGTCGACGCCATTTTTGTGATCCGGGTTGACTACCCCTAACGAGGGACTATGTTCGCGAGAGAGAAAGAAGTCGGCGTTACCTTCTGGCATTACAGGCGACATCACTGTCTGTACCGGTGTGCCTTTCGAATTTGCGGTCTGAGGGGTAAGTAACAGAGAGGATATAGCAGGGGACTTCAGAAGATCACCCAACGCTCTCGGATAGTAGACACTAGATATGCGGTGACTCGTATTGTCTTTTGGTTTCAGCCCGAGTGTCATGCTCAATCGATTCTTGATCGAGACCGGCGCTTGCCGAAGTAGATCTTCAGGAACATCGGCCGGAAGTTCAACGAGATGCTCCTCACCGTGTTGAATGAGTAGGCCCCCCAGACTGTGAATTCGGTCTGAAGCGAGCTGTGGCCCTTCGGTCGCCAGCATTTCGGAAGAAAATGACTGCCCAGGTATTCCTTCGTTGCCCGGTCTTCTAGATCCTGGAGATTGCGGCGTTTGATGACCATAAGACTGAGGTTGTGAATTCAATCCTTGACTTGACTTTCGGCCGCTGTTCGGTCGACTGGAGAAACTGGTAAGCTGGGTACTTCGAGATGAATTTCTGGTCGAATGTTGGCGACCTGGTTCACTGGGGAGCGGCTTGTGCTCAGCGATGGACCCTAATTGAGACGGGGCACGGCCAGCATCCTGAGAGGTAATGTGTTTGGTCTTCTGAGCTCTAGCCTAGCACCGGTAAGAAGAGAGACAACAAGAGGGCAGACATCGTCTTACCACAAGGTTTCTGCTGACAGCAGCAGCTCTGTGCTCCATCTCAGAAACCACCTCTGCGAGCTTCTTCAGAGACCCAGCCAGCTTGTTCCCTTGTAGGTGCAATTCCAAGAAGGCTCGGCGCCAGCCTTCGACATTCCCAAGCATAGCGACTAAAACGGCTTCGTGCTCAGGCGATTCCCTCTTCCATGTTGAGTTCAACTTTGACAGGTATTTTTCCATGACGTTGGTAGCATCGAATCCCTTCTGGACATCCTTCAGAGCATCTTTTGCCGCCCTCTTGGTCCGGCTAATGACATGATCAATCTTTTCGTTCCCATCAAGAATGGAAGCCCGAAATGCCCGATCCTCCAACATTCGATCAAACACTTCTCCGTGTGCAAGGGGGAGCTTGAGACAACGTATTCTCTCATGGATATCGCTTTGTGCAAGGTCGAAATCCTCTGTGGTCCGTTCCAGGAAGGCATCGATATCATCGACGTGAGACTGCAAGATTCTCATGACCTCCTCTTCCGAAATGGCCATGTTCTGTGATAATAGATGCATCCCAAAGGTTAGTTGCGCCACGAGTTTCCAGAGTGGATGATATTTTTCTCCCGGTTTCTGCTTCCACCTGCCCGCAATCACCCGTTCATAGGTAGGAGCCTCGAGGAGCATTGTCCTTCGTGTCATGGCGTCAGTAGGGACATCTTCCGGGACCTGATCAGATATTGATTCCAGCATTGACTCCTCAAAAGGCATTTGTAATTGCGGTACTGGATGCGCAGGCGGGCGGACAAAGGCTTGCCCTCCATTGCTGCCCTTGTCTATCGACATTGCGCGGGAGCAGACTCCTTGAGACAACCCGACGCAGGTGCCGATCAGTTGATGCAAGGGTGGTTATTATTCACGAGCACCTTGTCCCCACATGAACACATGTTCGTAGAACACAGCCTCTTGACCCTGAACCCCATATACTTAGATACTTTCTCCCAACAATCTCTTCTTCTGTGCACTCATGGACGCACCCAGGCGCCGATGTTCAGGAGAAGGCACGATGAGTCGAGAATATAGCACTTGGCCCGTGCAACCTGAGTTCCTCCAAACGTCTCAGCTGTTGTGTAATAACGGCGGACTATCGGCCTAGCAGAGGATACCCGGGTGAACGCGTATAGAGATACTTCCAACGGCCGGTTACAAGTGTCAACTTCCGTGACTTGGTTCGAGAGGTCGGTGTTTACTGGCCTGACGCGGCACGCGGATTCGAAGGAGGGCGGACAACAGGAAGGACTTGGGACAGCCGGTGTGAGGCTGGGTCGAGGGAGAGAGGGAAAGCTAAAGTCTCTGAACGCGTGCCCACGCAGAGAAGGACTGATGGGAGGAGGGATAGGTAGTCCTCGCTCGTGGAAGTAAGCAGCAAATGCAGATCCATATCAAGCCACCAACGGGAAGGGCCAGGGTATCTCGCCTGTGGCCGTGAATTTGAGGCCTGATGCGCCATGGGGCCGAGTCTTGACCAGGCTTCGATTGTTTCAGCGCGTTGAAAGCAGCGTGGGACTTTGCGCTCTGCTCGAGAAAATGCAAAGCGACCGAGGGGGAGTCAACAGCAGACCATGTGGGATTGGTCACGCCCGTAGTGGGCGTCGCCAATGGTGAAACCAGACTTGCATTTCAGCCTCTCCCGCGATAGGCCCCAGGAAATTTCCCGACTCAGAGCTAAGGAATAGCTCATCAAAATTGACCCAACATGCAGTGCATGCCCAACCCACAGATGAGAAAACGCGATCGGGTTATTGCCGATGATCATTCTCCCCGGCGCCTTATTTTAAGTGATGGACAGTGACCAGACGATAAGGACACAGGACGTACGCACCTCTACGGAACATCTACTGCAGATATTTCGGGCTCAGCATTGACTCTCTCTACAAAACCGGGCTAGAAAGAGAGGCAGTGGAAGCGACAGCAGCACCTACTCGAGGCCATCCTTCTACTCCTGATTCATATTTCCACCGTGGGACCCCGGTTCGCCCCCGCTCCTAGTTGCACGGGTGTCCCTTGAAAGGAGGCCGTTGCTTGTTATCACCAAGACGCCAAAAAAGGGAACAAAATCACGTCAAAGAGATAGCACGCAGCCAAGTCATTCCTCCTCGATCCTTCTCCTTCACGACAGTATCTCCAATTCTACAGCTTATGTGACTGTCTCGAGCACAAACCTTGCGTCCCCTTAACAACGTCCTATCTCAGCCAAAGGTGATCTTATCAAACCACAGTATGTCGACCACGGCCTATCCACTCTCATCAAGAGACGCCCTACTTCAGGCGTACCAATCTCAGTCGCTGCACGATGTACCGATGCCAGCAGCGGTTATAGATGTGGCAAAGGTAAAGGCAAACTGTGTTGCTATGCTAAATGCTGTCAAAGAGCTGGGTGTCAGTTTCAGAGCTCACGTCAAGACTCACAAAACAACAGAAATTACAAGGATCCAGGTCGGCGAAGATTGCAATGACGTGAGGTTGATCGTGTCGACCATTATCGAAGCAGAGCAGTTGGTCCCTCTTCTGCTGGAATATAAAGGTCGGAATGCAAAGATCAACGTCTTATATGGCGTCCCTTTAGGCCCTTCACATGTGGACCGGCTCGCTGCCGTGGCTCGTCAGCTTGGTGCAGGATCCATCACGGTCATGATTGACCATCCAGAACAGTTGAAGTGCTTGCCGTCGTTCAAAGAAAAAGCCGGATTTCCCGCCCTGGTTTTTATAAAGACCGACTCGGGCTACCACAGAGCTGGTCTGAGTCCAGAGTCGAGAGATATGATGGATCTTGTGAAAGCAGTCAGTATCAACGAACAGCAAGGCCACCTCTGGTTGCTCGGCTTTTATTCACATAACAGTCTCAGCTATGGCGGCTCGTCCCCAGACGATGCGATGGACAACCTCAAGGTCGAAATCGATGTCTGCCGGGAAGCTTCCCAGCACTTTAAGCGAGACGGCCAGAAAGCGCTTCTCGTTTCTGTTGGAGCATCTCCCACTGCTCTCTCTCTGCAGAACATTCTACCTTCATCGGCCAGTTCTACCCCCTCCGCTAATGCTCTTAAGGACACGCTTGAGTTGACCAAATCTAACCTGGAGCTTGAAGTCCATGCTGGCGTCTACCCCATCTTCGACATTCAGCAGGTGGCTGCCAGCAGTCGCAGCTTTACCTCTGATCCTCATGATACTATTGCGGTATCTGTGCTCGCTGAAGTCTGCTCTCTGTACCCCAACCGAACTGAACAGCCTGAAGCACTGATCTCCGCCGGTGCTCTGGCACTGGCGAGAGAACCTTGCAAGGACTATTCTGGGTGGGGTGTTGTAAGTCCGTGGAATATGCCGGGTGATTATGGCACGACAAAGAAAGATCGCATCATTGTGAGTCGGATAAGTCAGGAGCACGGCATCTTGGCTTTTGAAGACAACAGTATAGAGAACCGACAACTGTCTTTGCAGTATGGACAAAAGCTGCGCATTTGGCCGAATCATGCATGTATCACTCTGGCCATGTTCAGCTGGTATTTTATCATCGATACGGAGACCGACACTCCGGACAAGATTGTTGATATCTGGATAAGATGGCGAGGCTGGTAACGAAAAAGGCACAGGAAGGACAGCTCTGTTGCAACCGGGCTTGGTCAGGGTCAGTACAGCAGGTCCACCTGATTGTGATTGTGATGGCGATTGTGATTCTTGTTCGAGCCACAGCCAGGATATCTCACGAGGCACAATCCAACACGAGAAGGTTTAATCCGATGAGCTGGAGGCTCCTCTCACCAGGCCAGTCCCTAGCCAAGTCCTGTCTAAATATCAAAACGCAACAGATCATAACATGGACTGCAAATCTAAACCAAAACCGAGGCTTCTCTCTATTTTTCTTCATTGTCTGGGTCCTGCTGACTACCACTCCACCTCTTTTCCCAGGAGACCGGGCACGGCAGAAGAAACACTCTATGTCATGAATCTCCGAGGGGCATATTAATCAGGTTGATGATCAGACTCTCTCCGGAGATAACTGCCAGGTTTGTCGGAAAACGAAACTCACATGGTTGCCTGTAAAGGTAAGAGACTTTCCACGTCTGGGACAGAATCAAATATCAAGGAACATCCCTTTTCGGTTCTTTGCCTCCCGGAGCTGTACGGTGGAAATATCTGCAGGCGATGGGGACTGGAAAGGGGGGTTGCTACTGGACGGGACGAGGATGGTGTGTTCCTACTTCTGTAACCACCCAGTCTGCCCGGATTGAACTTCCGGGCGTCCTTCACGAATGCCTTGCGGAGTTCCGACGCCCATCGGACAGCGCCATGCAAGGCTGTTGGCATTCTCGTCTGTTCGCCTAGCTGCTCGCGGTAATCACCTCCGTCCTACAGGAATGTCACATCGAGATTGAAAGTCAGGTGACAGAAGGTCTATTTCAACAGTAGAGATAGCACTGCCAGCGAAAGCCTTGATCGTGACTAAAGTACAGCAAGGTCGGCATTTTTCGCTCGTTCTTGATCCTATATGACTGTGTCCGAGGCGTCTGAGTTGAAAATGCAGCAAATCCTGACCACGCAGAGTGACATGAAGCTTGCCAAACCTCCTATCCTTGCTTACCGTCCAAGTCAACCGTGTTAGCCAAGCCTGAAACCCGTCCGAAGCTCTGCTCTAACACTTGGAGCTGGTGTCCAGAATTCACTCAACAAGGAGAGAACTTGTATGGCTCAAGCTTTGACGGGATCGTTGATTCGGTGCCCTCAACTTGCTTCTCTCCTCAAGGATCCGCAGCTGTGTGCAGCAGGTCTTTCAGCCTCCTGTTTTTGACACGTACCTAGTGCGTGCTGATGTACTTGCCCCAGACAACGCCAGGCTTTCTTCACACTCCCTCCCTCCCTTCTGCTCCCCTCCAAATCTGTCGACGTCCGCAGCGACATCACCATCCACGATTTATGAACTCACAGCTCGGACCATCAATACGTGACCTCGACGTCTCTTCAGCCATAGAATCTGGCGCGAGCTCGTTTGATCAGGTGCATGCTGCGTCGCACATGGGGCATGAGATTGCTCCACGTTAATTGCACAAAATCCACAGAGTAACCAATACAAACCCGTCCGTCAACCTTTCGCTCTTTGCAATGCCAAAAAGGCGAAGAGTGAGCAAAGCACCGGCTGTTCCGTATTGATATACAAATCGTGCTGGACTTGGAGAGAAGTACTATTCACATGGACATTTGAACGACAACCGCTGGGAAGAGATGATCATATTATTATTTATTTAATATCCGACTCTCCTGATCAGGTTAAGCCCCAAGCCACTCGAGCACTCGAAAACCAAAACTTGACTTCTCACTTCTTTTCATTCTTTGCCAACCCCGGTCGGCAATGCAATTACTTGTCCGCCGAACAAATTTCGAATGGCCTAGTAAACGAGGTGCTTCAGTGTCTCTTGTTTCGGTATCTTGAAAAGCTTTCAATGTGGTTGTGGTCTTGACTTCCACTTGCGCAAGCTGCAGTGGCTCGCCCCGTGCAGATGAACTCGACATGTCAGGTAGTCGGCACCAGGACCTGGACATCACTCCTTCTCCGTGAGGACGAGGAGAGTGGACGGAGACACTCCGTATCTCTCTGGCAGCAGCAGAAAAACGCGAGTGGAAGGGTCACCCCCTCATTCATTCTTGCCGTACTGAGCCACTCTGTCGGGTCGAATCCAACTCTGGAACGCCAATTGCGCGCTGTTCCCTTGATCAACAAAAATACAAGCAATGCACCATGAACGGAACCAAACAATGAGTCACCCACACTCGTCTCTCGCACACCCACCACCAAAACACCCCTCCGAATCTCTTTCCTGAGCAAAAAGGAACAAACAACAGAGATACCGGTGCCTGGATTCGAACCAGGGTCGCTTCGGATCAATGTTAGGGAGTTAGATGACTGTTTGTTGACCCCTCCCACTTTTTGTGGTTGAGGGGTTAATTGCAGTTACGATGCACCCATAACTTGTTGACGAAGCATGCTAACCACTACACCACACCAGCGGATGTGTGCTTTTTGTTCGATCCTGAGTGAGGATTTGAATTGTTGAAGTGTTTTGCGCGGGAGTAATAGATGAATATTGTCTTCCTGCCCCTCTTCGAGGAGGGGCACCGTAGCCACTCGAACCAAGGGATCGTGGCCGTATTGGGTGTGGGTGTGAGAATGGTTTGTGAGTCTACCAGAAGAAGATCCCTCACGGGTTCCGAGGATCTGGGATTTGTGGTGCACGGTACACCTGGTGGGGAGGGCAGGTGATAACTCAGATGTGAAGGAAACACAAAGTCCCCCCCCCTCTCTCTCTTAGAACACTCTTCAGTACTGACCTGTGTGCCTGTCTGTGTCCTTGGAAGAATGACCTGCCCCCGTTCATTTGCTGATGTCCTGTTCTGCATACCTAGGGATCCATGTCATCTCTGATTGAGCCTCACCTCGACTCAAGATGCCACACCAGACAGACACGAGACGTCCAGACCATCATCCAGGTCCGTCCGCCAACAGTGTTGCTTTCACACGCGTAGACCGGAGACCCCCGACGGTGAGAAGGTGGAAATGGCGGAAGGGATGAAAGGGGTGGAAGACGACCGGTCCCTCGTTTTGGGCCAGTCTCTGGCCCGAGCACAAATCCACATACCTACCTTGCCAGTGATCGTCCTGTCCGACGGACCACGACACCGTGTCAAGAGGGAGTAGGCGAAGGAGGTGAGGCAAAACCAAAAGAAAGTGACAGGGGCAAAGTGTAATGTACATACTTGTACATACGAAAGGGAGCCCGACACATGACGAAGCCAGGAGGGAGAGGTAATAGATGTTCTTTTTAGTACTGACAATTCGGTGATATCAGAAAAGAGACCGGGAGGGCAGCGGGAGGAGGAGAGGACGGTTTGTTTTGGTAAGAAGTGATGAGGACCTGTACACACATTCGTACCCAGAGATAGACATACAGGCCTACAAACCTACAGACCTCGTAGCTACTCATAGGCATCATCCATATCATTACACACACCGCAACACCGCAACACCGCAACGCATCATGTGGTTTTGTATTTTGTATTTTTGTGTTTTACGTTCTCTGGCGTTGGTCTCCCATGTACTAGGTATGGTATTATCACACTGTCCCCATCTCCATGTCAATCTCAATCTCCGTCATCCATCATCCATGACCCCGGAACCTACATACACAACCTACATACATAGAAATCTCACCGCCTCGAATCCCCTTTTCTTCGAGCTTACTTTTCCTCCCACCGACATTTCCCTCTTTTCCGCTGGCAACAACAAGGCAGTCCCTGTTATGCCGAAGTGGAGTTCCGAAGTACATTTGTACATACATGGATACCTGGCACGGATGGAAAATCCGGTTGCCCTGCACTGCATTGCATCTCATCGCATCGCACGAGTTTGGGTGGCAGGACTGGTGGGTTACTTACCATAACTTGTGATTAAGTAGAAACCTGGGACTGTACATATAGGACCCACGCGTGGTAATACCGTACGATTGGAGTAGATCATGGGTACCGTAATCAGTCGTCCAGATTGGTCCAGAGGGAGGGGGTGTTTGTATATTTGGATATTTGCATGTATGCCCAAAAGCCCAGATGCCCAGATGTCCACGATGGATGCATACATGCGGTATGCGCATGTCGATATGGCGGTATGGCAATGCACATCTCGATGGTCATGTCATGCAGCCCAATTTCACCTGCACACCACACCACACCACACCTACCCCGTACACACCTGAAGACCCAAACCATTTAATCCTTTGAGCCTCTAAATCAACCATACACGGCATTGGGCGGGATAATACTTCGTATGCGTGGGTATGCAAGCACCAGCAAGGAAAGGCATTTTATGACATCAGGGGCCGTGAGGGGAGGGGGTGGAAGGGAAATTATATCCATCATGTGTCCAAGGTCCATGTGTCCGTAGGTCCATGTTTCCGTCCACATTCTCCCTGTGACTTGACTGGTGACTGGCACCGGGGTATGTACATAGGTAGGTGAGTAGGTGCATTGATACATGACCGGAAAAGGGTGAAGGGATGTTGAAGGGATATAGTATTACCTGCCAAATACGCCATGCAAGGGAGAGAGCGAAAGAGTGAGCGACCGACAAACTCGCTTGCTCGTATAGAAAGAAACTCTTTTGCATTAATCCCCGCAGATCACATCCCAAGAAAGTGGGGAGCGCGACGAGCGGGAATGAAGCAAGAAAGAGGGCACCACCTCGATTGACACTGGGGGAAAGGCAAAGGAAAGTCCCGTTGGCATATTCCCATTATTGGCCTTGATTTTGAACCCTGCCCAGCCTTGCCCTGCCACCTCATGCACCCCATGACCGAATAAATCTCAGTCTCAGCAGTCTCAGCAGTCCGCGAGGTGGTGTGTGTGGCATGGGTCTTTTCCTTTTGCTTGGTCTTCGCCATCCTTGCTTTTTTGGTTCGGTAAACACTGTATAACGATACATGAAAGAAATCGCATCCTGACATTTTGTTTTTTTTTTCCACAGACGACGACCGAGTGGGCCACGGGAGGATGCGCAGCGGCCAAGCCTCGAGGGCGCCAGCAATCAATCAGAT